TCCTCTGTGGCTATGTCACTGACTCTGGGCCCAAGAGTCCCCAGGTCTTGCCACACTGCTGGCCAACCAAGTCTTCACCCGGGTTCACAGAAGTCTACTGAACGTTGCAGGGCTTAGCTCACCGCTTCATTGCTGTTTTTCCCTCACTTCCTCTTATTGGTGTCGAGCATGGTCACCTATCACAGCATGTATTCCCACTGAGTCTTAGTCTTGGAAGGGGGTTTTCTCTGAGGGGACCCGACCACTTGCCTTGATGTTTCCTGGGCAAGCAAGTTGCTTGTTTTTGTAGTAACAGTCGGTCTGCCTATGTTGTTTTATCTTTTTCCTGTAGGTTTTTCTTTCAAGAAATATCTTCTGTTCTTCTAGCCACTCCAGGTTGGTCTGCTTGTCCTTTCAAGTGAGAATTTCCCATCTCTGGAGATCTGGATGTGGTTCAGGCTTCCACCTATAGTCTTATGCATTGCAGAAGCTCCTCAGGAAGCCTTCTTCACTGGGCACATTATAGCCCCATTTTAGGTATTCCAATCAGTTATAGGCAGAAGACAGACTTACAAGCTTTCTATGGTGATGCTTTTCACTGTTCCTTTCTCTCCGCCTCCAGTGTCTATTTTATAATATAATGCAAGGAACCCAAGATTCAAAAGACAGCCAAGCATCTTATTATTCCCCCCTTCTCCACATTCCAACCATGGCTTGATCTCTGTATCCCAGAACCCTGTTGTTCCCAGGTTGTGCATATATCATTATTTACCTCTGTATCACTTAGCCCATTGAGACCTGTCTAATTGTTCGTCTACATTTTGAAATGATATTTTTTTGTGTTTCAAGATATTCATCTAAATCCATTTGTTTTATATGTGCTAGCTTTTCTGCTCAGTTTTATGGACAATCTTTAGAACCATATTGTGTGAAAAACTCATCAACCAGAAGAAAAGAGTATGAATATGTAGGAGTACATATGCAGATATATTTTTTTTTTTTGGGGGGGGGGAACATGCTAGAGACATTTGTTATAAACTACCAAAATTAACCCAAGAGAAAGATGAGGCTGTCTGCTCCCATTAAGATTTACACCCTTGGAAACCATATATGGGGTCACCATGAGTTGGAAATGACTCAACAGCACACAACAGTATATTAAAGTTAAGCAAAAATCTTTTTTCACTCTTAATATTACTCTTTATGGGAGCAGAAAGCCTCATCTTTCTCTTGGTTTAATGGAAAAACAGTAAAAGTGGTATGCAATTAAAATGGTGGAGAAACACATTCAAAAACTATCATAATTGGTTTGGATTAGGACTTAATCTGCCTGAGAATACATTTCTGAAGAGTGGAATGGGATATAAATTAGGAAGGAAGATGGTTAATCAAAAAGAAGCAGGAAATTAAAAGAGCAAGGCTATTAAATGTGAAGAGATGTTAAGATTGAAGTCTTTGTTGTTGCTTTTTCAATATATAGAATCAAGTTATTTATCCTAATACTGGAGAAAGTAAGAAATTGTGAAATACAGGCAAGAAGATGGTTGATTTATTCATATAATACCAGAAGTTTCAGGCAACCAGCTTGAAAAAAAAAAAAAAAGACAAGACAAAACCAACATATTTTTTATAAAGAAAATTCTGGTTAAAATCAACTAGATAGTCTTCATTTTTGTTACATACCTGAGATGTTTTACATATGTACCTTCCTTCCAAAAAGTCACTTATCTGTAATTTTATATTCATTGAGTATGTTTTTGTCCATTAAGCTGTTCCAAGAAACACTGCCATTTCCTTATTTTAATCAAATCACACCTAACAGTAGTGGGTAGCTTTGATCATCAGTTAGCTTAGGTCTCATACATATAAATACAGACTTTGGGACTTCTCATAAACAAACACATTGAATATGTGTTATCATTTATATTGTTGTATAATATACACATACTGAACCTATGTAATATATACAGAATAGATGTACCGCAGAGGGATTTCTTGGCTATAATCTTTATAAAAACCTTTTTGCTACTGAATCGATGCGTGAATCGAACCACCAATCTATAGGTTAGATGATCCTAAACAGCTT